GGTAGGATTCTGTTTTTATTCTTTTTTTCTAGAGATTGGCTGGTCAGTAAGCTAATAATAGTAGTTTTAGCTTTCAATTTTAATTGGTTTGGCTATAGAACACAATATAAGCTAGTTTGTATCTGACCAAAGCAATTTGATTTTGACTGTAGAAGTGTTTAACAACTGTACTGAGGACATTTGGCCATTTGCTCCCCTCTGTATTCTTGAGAAGGCATGTCATGGTTTTACTAACATTGGGTATGGCAGGAGAGTTACTGGGCTTGCTAAGTGAACATTGTATTACCAAGATCTTTCAGGACTGACCTTGTGTTTGTGGAAGTGTAAACTTAAACCAGTCTAAAGATTTCTGTATTGGTAAATGCTGCTGTCTGTAGGACTATTAATAGCATGCTCTGTATAGATCTCAATTTTATGGCTTTATATTTTCCTGCAAAGGCAACTTGCTTCATTTTATTTTTAACAGGTTGAAAAATGGAGAAAAATAGCCCTGTATTTATTTAATATTTCTGAAACCTTTTCTCAAACCGGACTTAATGCTTTGTTCTCTCTCCTACATCTTTTTAAAATTAATCATTTATATGTTATCTGGATTTTTACTGTGTAACAGGGAAGATGCAAAGCAGATTTTTGGCCAGTTGTCATTTAAGTCGAATAATTCTATATAATATAGTTACATATTTCAATATAGTTTGTGCAAAAAATCCCCAAACAAACAAAAAAAACATATATAGATGTACACAACCATTTTCCAGATTTGATACTGGACTATTCCAGTATCACTTAGTACTTTCTTCTCACTCTTTTTGAAATTGTCACGGTATCAGATTTTTTAATGCAATACAGTACTTTACTTTTTTTTTTTTAATATATTGGAGACAGATTCTGAACTATTAGTCAGATTATACTTCTAAGGATGTAATATTCTTTAAAGTTTACTAGCAGAGGATAAAAGAATCATTGCATCATTAACATTGGAAAAGATGTCTTAAGATCATCAAGTTCCCTCTCCCCAGCAGGACATGGGAGAAAAACAAGATTTAAAAGGATGTGGGTCAAGGTAAGGGTGGGCAGATCACTCACCAATCACTGTCATGAACAAAATAGAGTTGGCATGAGGGAGATTAACATAATTTATTGCCTATTAATAATAGTGTAATAATAATGTACGATGGTGAGAAAGAAAATAATAGAGAACTCCTGTCTTCTGACCCTTCTGAGTTTCAGCTTCACTCCAACTCTTTTACCTCTTCCCCAGTCCTGAGCAGTGCAGGCATATGGCTCTTGTGAGGCCCTATCTGAAGTACTGTGTCCAGGTCTGGAGCCCCCAGTACAAGAAAGACAGAGAGCTGTTGGAGAGCGTCCAAAGGAGAGCAACAAAGATCACTGGAGAGCTGGAGCACCTCACCTACAAAGACAGGCTGAGGGAGCTGGTTTGTTCAGCCTGGAGAAAAGAAGGCTGCGGGGTGACCTCACTGCAGCCTTTCAGTACCTAAAGGGAGCCTACAAACAGGAGGGCAGTCAACTCTTTGAAAGGGTAGATAACAGCAGGACGAGGGGAAATGGTTTTAAGTTGAGGGAGGGAAGATTTAGGTTGGATGTCAGAGGGAAGTTCTTTACTATGAGAGTGGTGAGGTGCTGGAACAGGCTGCCCAGAGAGGTTGTGGATGCCCCGTCCATCCCTGGAGGTGTTCAAGGCCGGATTGGATGGGGCCCTGGGCAGCCTGGTCTGGTATTAAATGTGGAGGTTGGTGGCTCTGCATGTAGCAGGGGGATTGGAAATTCATGATCCTTGAGGTCCCTTCCAACCCTGGCCATTCTGTGGTCAGTCTCTAACACTTTGTCTCCTACCTTCCTCCTCACACTAATCCTCTGCTCTGGATGGGTTCCTTCCATGGGATACAGTCATTTAGGAGCTGCTACAGTGTGGCCCTTACCACGGACTGCTGTTCTTCAAGATCTGCTCCAATATGGGTCCTTTCCATGGAGTGTGGCCTTTCTGGAAGATATTAGTCCAGCTTGGATATTCCATGAGGCGCAGTTCCTGCCAGAAAGCCTGTTCTGCTGTGAGGTGGAGTTTCTGCTAGAAGCCTGCACTTCAGTGGGGTCTTCTACTGGCTTCAGTGTGCATGTCTACTGTGATGTGATCTTCTGTGGCCTGCAGTGGGACAGCCTGCACCTCCACAGGCCTCCTCAGGAGAAAGGGCTGCAGGGGAATCTCAGCTCTGGTGCTTGGAGCGCCTCATGCTCTCCTTCTGCACTGACCCTGCAGAGCTGCTTCTCTCATTTCTTACTCCTCTCTCCCTATTGCACAGTGGGCTTTCTGTTTGTTTTTATCCTTTAAATATGTTGTTGCATGGGTGGAATCTCCCTCAGGACTCTGCTTGACAGGTCCCTGGATAATATAAGGCCCTGTTTTCAACAGAAGGTTGGACCAGATGGTTTCTAGAGGTCCTTTCCAATCTGAAATTTCCTATGATTCTGTGAATCTCTTTTCCTTTGATACTCAAACAAATATGGAGAAACAGACTAAGCAGTTGTAGTACTGCTAGTGGGTTCTTGAGCCACAAGGCCTGTGATCTGATCCATTCCTCAGAGCAAAATTATTGCACTGTATTAAAAAGGAAACTGGAGGGGAGGGCAGTTCAGTAGAAAACAGTGCCTGAGTTTTTCAGTGGGGGGAGGTGCCAGCTTACCATGTAAATTTGAACATGACTGTCCAGCATCTTAACAGAGAAGTGTAGTTGCACTGCTGAAGAAACGGCCAAAAAGGAATGAGGACTGGAAAGGCAGTGTGAATGGGTATGGTATACATCTTAGTTACTGAACAGTTTAGTATAATGTGCATACACCATGTTGAGTGATATAGTTTGTGAGGCAGAACAGCTTTGACAATGCAGGAAACCTCTAGATTCTGAAAGTGTTGTCTGCTGGTGTTAACAACCATGTGTTGTTGAGAGCAGGAGGAGGGAGTTCTTGAATTTTTCATAATTTGAATGATTTGAAGAAGATGCTGGCCTTTCCTTAAATACTTGCGAAAAGGAAGAGGAGAAATTAAAGAGTTTGAAGTGTTTTTTAGTACAGTCATCTGATCATTGAAAAAAAAAAAATCCATTTAAACTTAGCAAATTAAAGACCTTTCTCCAAATTGAAGTATTGTTTAGTTTATTCTATGTTTTATGTTTTATGTTTTAGTTTATTCAGGGAAGTTGGAGCGTCTCACAGATGTGTGCCTTGGTCATCCGCCATCCTTGACATTGTGGTTGCTTTTCTTTCTTTTTTTCTCCTGAAAAGAATGTTATTTCTGTCCTGACATGGATCATTCCTTTAGCTAACTACAGCAACTGCCATCATAATTTCTATGTTGAGAAGTTTTTTCACTGCAGTCTATAAAGAAAATTGAAGGCATCTCTAAAATATCAGTCCCATGATATCTGTACAGTATGCCAGGTTCCATTTTGCAGTATGATCTGGAAAGGAAATGGTCAGGAAACCTGGGTCTTTCCTTTAGTGTGACTCCAAATATTGCTGCAGCCAATATCTGTTTTTATATAGTGCTTATGTACGTGTAGAAGACAACCACTTTATTAAAGAGGTTTAATAATCATTGCACACTGGGCTTGCCCATCTAACCCATGCATCAGCTGATTGTTTATGAGGATTGTGTTGGGGTTTGTATCAAAGGTCTGACTTAAGTTCAGGAAGACAATATCCACTGCTCTCATCATTCTAATCATCTTCTTGTAGAAGCTTATCTAGTTGATCAAGCATAACTTCCCCCTGATAAATCCATGCTCATTCATGACTACTGCTGATGATTTTCTTCCTATCCCTGTGCCTGGAAATTGGTTTACAGGATGAGCTGTTTCTGTCAGCTGTTCCCAGGGTCAGAGGTGAGGCTGATTGGCCTGCAGTTCCCCAAGCCCTCTTTCTTGTCCATTTGAAAATGGGAGCGATGTTTGCTTTTCTCCACTTTCAGATACGTCTCCCAGTTGCTACAATCCCTCTGGAATAATTGAGAGTGGCCTTGCAGTGAGGGAGGTGAGATTAGTTTGCATTAAACACGACTAGTATTTTCCCCTTAACAAGAATATTGCGTAAGATACAAAAAAATATTGTCTCAGTATGTGGAATTTTCTCTATCCAGATTTTGGTTATCCCAACTAAAGAAAATAGATTGCTTTGTGCAATTGTCTGCTTAGCCAGCTGTAAGCCCTGTGGGACAAATTGCATGGTATTAATCAAACAGGTTGTGGGTGGTTAGTGAAGTGTGTAATGATGTCCATAGCTTCCAGTGCGTTGTAGAAATGCCACTGACCAATATAACCACGCAATCTGTAGTGTCTCTTGCAAAATACATTAGGACTACAGGGAAAAAGTGGTGTAGTTCCTGAAAAGCTGTGACAGCAGCACACAGCTGTGCTCATTTTTGTGGAGGCTAAAATTTAATCCGACAATTTAAGGCTTCTTTTTTTTTTTTCTTTTGTCTGTATGATAAATTTGAGGGTCTGTATTTCTGCATGTGCATTAAAGTGTTTGTTTCATATCCCACCGTCTGACAACAGAAGGCAGAATAGCCTCATGAATTCTGACAAGCAGCATGCTGTTTTATAAAATGTTTTATAAAATGTAACTAGATCAAGCAGTCAAATACTAAAGATTGTATATACTACTCTTTATAGCTGGATATAATTTTTTAATGCGTATGTAATCTCCACTGGTCAAATGCTGTCTGAAAATATGGAATGTATTTGACTCTCATATCAGATTTTGTTATGTAATAATTCTGCCATAGGAATGTTTTTTTTTTATACTATGTTCTGAACTGTCAGCAGTATCTGCTTACTGCTTTGAAGCTATGTAAATTCCAATTGCAGAGCAGCGGGTGTTCATATTTCTTTTCTTATGAGTGAGCTTTTCTTCAGAGCAGTAAAATAATTCATGTGCTTACCTTTGCTGCTCTATTAAAATTCCTATAAATATTTGTTTCCAATCCATAGGTAGTAGCTCAATTCCAAATTTCTTTCGTATCATGAAACGACAGTTTACTGAGACAGAGTGGCATGTAATCAAGTCTATGAATAATGAGTGGATGCAGCTGGATATGTTTCATCGACACTGGGTAATACATTTATTTCCTATTTAAAGACTACAATACTACAACTTGTAAATTGTTTAGGATGTTCTGTTATTCTTTAAATTATGAGAAAACCATATACTTTCATAGTTCAAGAACATATAGAGATTATCTATTTAATGTCGGACTATCTGCAAGAACCATAATATAGTTGATGTTTCTAGAGGGATTTATAACTAGTTTTAAACATGTACTGGGAACAAGCTAAATGATTCATATCTAGATGTTCATTTTTACACAGTGAGAAAAGTAATAACAATGATGGTAACTTTTTTATCTTGATAACTGTGCCAGTCTACTGTCATATTAACAGGTATAAGCCCTTAATTTATTTGACCTACAATGTCTGCTTATAAATAATGTTTATAGAGAAGGTAAATTGAAACAACCAGTAAGAACAGTGAATATTCTGATAATGGTGCTCTGTCTTTTAGGCCCTAAAAGAAAGCTTCTTAAAGGCTATTGGAGTTGGGATTGGTTTTAACTTGCAAAGAATTGAATTTAATGTGTCCCCATTGCAAATGGAAATAGGGAAGGTGTATAATGAGACCCAGATGCTGTTGGATGGAGAAAAAGAGGAAGAATGGACTTTTGAGGTATGAAATCTTCAAACTATTGTTTTAATTGCGTTGCACTTTTTTTCTTAATTGTACCTTCACACTTTTATTCTATATAACTGCACTGAACAGATATAGATTAAAATGTAGGGTATAAATCTCTGGCATGTAAAAACATTTTTGTTGATCACAAAATCCTCCTACAAAGTACATCCATTAGAATGGCTTTTTATTTTTTCTGTTCCTGGAGTATTGTTCTGGCACTCGAGGATATTCATCCCTGGCCATGCAGGAAGTTCAGTGAAGTGTATTCAGACCTCACTTGTGAAAAGTGTAAAAAAAAAAATTTGAAATTCTTCCAAACCAGGATATTCTGTGATTCTGTGATCAGTTGGCTGAGAATGAGACTGGTGATAACTAATGCCATTAGTTAGCATTTATGTTAAACGCTTGACATGTGTCTTCATCTTTTTGGTTGTGCTTTCGTTGTTGTTTGGTTGTTTTGTTTTTTTTTTCCCTTCACCTGCCTGAATGAACAAGAAGCACTGTGGTTATGTAGATTTGAATTTTAGAGGTACTCACTGGTTGCTGTGTGTTGGAATGGACAGATGCTACAAACAATTGCCTTTACTAAATTGGAACATCCTTTTGGAGCTCGGTCTTCTGAGTGTTGGGTTTTGTCTTTGTTAACATGTTTGGGCTTTTTTTTTACTTGTTGGTTTTTTTTTTTTCCCTCCTTGAAAATTATTGAGACTTAACAGTGAAACATCTATGGGAGTGACCAGTGGCCATCTAATGTGCTTTGAAGGACAGGGAGAGAAAGAGCTGATACTATCATCTCACAATATTTAATTAGCTAAAAAAAAAATCACGGGTGCTCCAAAAACACTTTCAATCTATCACTGAAAGGAAAAATGGAGAGGACAATGTGGCTTTAAAGTTGTCTAGAAAGGGACGTCTCCCTTTGTCACAGTCTCCATCTTCTGTTAGATTGTGCAGCATGTTGGTGGCTGGCTGGAAGTTCAAAGATTATATACTTTGCACCTCTATTGAGAAAATACTCCATTTGAGTGGAATATTCCATCAGCCTGCAGTGTGTGTGAAACATTACATTTTGCAAGCATCTGCATTGTTGGACATGACTGCTGTGGTAGAGCTTGTGTGAATGACCAGTATGTGGTGTATGCTCATTTTACATAGCATACGCAGTGCACGTATGGTGTGCATATAGTGAATAAAAAAATAAAATATGGCATAAGTTAACTTGTACCAGTAACATTTAACCTGTTCAGGGTTCATTCCTTTCAGCATCTGTAGTCGCATTTGGGTTTCTGCTATTTTAAAATCCACCCAGACTAAATCAATTCTTATACTAATATTGCCATGGTCTTTAGGATTTGAGCATGTCATCAAATCCTATGGTGGGAGTTACAGTCTGGCAAGAAATATCTTAGGAAGGATTGTGGCACATCTTGCAGTATGACTGTTTTCTGTGTTAATGCTAACTGTACCGTTGTCACAGAAGCGTTTATCTCTTTTGATGAACATCTGAAGCTCCAAATTTTGATCATGCTGGTGGTTGATTGAATAAAATAGCTCGGAGGTGATGATATAGATAGCTGCCTGTAGTACTTACATGTTTTATAATTTTATTTTTTTCTTTATAACTCAGTGATACTGCTAGAAGCTTAATTTAATTTTTGTCTGAGAAATACCTCCGCTTCCATGCTTGCCCACTGCTTCCCAAGAGCACAGCCTTCTAACTATGCAGACTATATTATCTCAAAGACAAAATTTATTATCAGGTTTCATTTAAAATACTAGTTCTGCTGGGTATCATTTCATTTAAAAATCTACATTAATTAAAAGGAGAAAAAAAAAAAAAAAAGTTTTTCAGTTGTCTGTCTCCAGACTAAAATTAAGAATCTCTGTAGTTTTAAAAGAATCTTGTGAGAACACAAAATGTTGTCCCCATTTTCTTACTTACAGAATTCTTAGTTTTGTTTGATCATTTGGCCTTGAGCCAAACTCTTGAAATAACTTTGGTAACTGCAGGCAGTAATCTTGAGAAATCTGGGGGAGTCATTCAGGAGAAATCACTGAGAATTACCTTTAAGACTCCTATTATTGATACAGAGTTTTCCTTGTGTTCTCTTTTGTGCTGAATTTACCTGAGAGGACTTTTTCTATCAGATAGAAAGTTCAGTTTTACTTCACAGGTCTGTATGGTAGGAGATGGTCAAAGAGAGAGCAAGGCTCCAGTTATCTCATAGTTTGGATTCTCTTCCTTTGAGTTTTAAAGAGAATCTAGCTTACCAACAGTAGCAGATTGTTTGTTTGTTTGTTTGTTTGTTTTAAAGAAAAAAGTAAAAAGTTTATTTCTCAACTTAAGGTATACAAAAATACTCTGAAATCTCCTTTAGAGATTTCAACTTAAAAGCAAAGTTGACTTAGAGTCAACTTAAAAGCAACTTAAAAGCATAAAGACTTGAAAAAAATTTACTGCCTCTTCATTTGCAAGCCAAAAAACGAGTCAATAGAAATAGTAGTGAATCACATTAGGGGAACATTCATTTTAATTTTCCTCACATTGTAGGTAGAATTTTCTGTGAACAGAATTTTTTTCTATTTCATTGTAAATGCTAAATTTATGTTGTATAGTTGCCTTTTTGCTTCCTTTTTACCTAAGGGATTAGTTTTGTACTTTTTCCTTCTGTCATTCCTCATGTATTTTTGAGCTTGGGTAGGAAGCAGTAGCTCAGGAACATCTTGTTAATGATAAATTGACTTAGTTTTAGGTGTTTGTTTCATATGGTTCTCTAGAGATTATTTCTCACATTCCCTTTAACTATTTTGGAGGTAATAGGACGAAAAATACAATAAAACTTCATTCAAAAGCATAAATTGAGTTTCAACATTTATCTTACTATGTGTGCTAAGTAGATCCCTCTGAAAGTAATGCCTCCTATTTATTTCTGTGGAAACTACAACAGATGCTGATACCTCTGATGCTGTGGGCCAACACAAGGTGCTGCTTTCGGAGCAGCCCTCATATGATTTGTTTGCAATGGGCAAACGTGTCTTTTTTTAGAGAGACAGAAAAAAAAGACAATTTCTTTAGTAAAAATTAAAACGTAAAAATTAGAAATTTAGTAAAAATTAAAACACAGTAATCCACTGAGGTGTGGTACAGTATTGTGTCAGAGTGTTAATTTAAGATGAAGACATACATTTTGATTTTTATTTTTTTATATAATTTTATCAATGAGTTTCATATAATCCATTTGCTTCTTTTGAAGAAAAATAAACTTACAGCATAAAGTACTAGCTAATTTTAATGTAGGTGAAGGAAGTTGTCAATGATAATTTTGACAGGTTTTATAGTTCAGAGAGGGAATTGCATGTATATAATATCTATCTGCAGCAGACCTGCTACAGTTATATATATGGAAAAGAAATCCTAATGATGAATCTTAATGAAGTGTATTTGTGACTTTTTCTCACTTTCATACAGTTAATTGGGAAGAGTGGTCAGATAGCAGTTTCTGGAGTCTTTATTAGATAACTCTTTTTTTTTGTTCCCATGGAATGGAGTGTAATGGACTCTTTCTCCCATGTAAGATGGGAGATGTCCAAATGTAATGGAGTCTTTCTCCCTTGATAAGAGGAGGTTGTTATGTTTTATTTTGAGGAAGAAATAGGAATTAAAGCTTGTTTCCAAGACTAGCTAATCCAACTGGATTCAGACAGCAATCAGTTCTGCTGCCTGTGAAGGTGCAGTTTACTCATAAATTATCTGTTTTAGTGAATCCAGTCTGATCTGAATCCCAGACACGTCATTCTGATGAGCCTTTGAAATGAGGTAATTATAAGTCTCATTGTGCCTTTAGTTGGTTCAGAGGAAAACAAATTTTGATCTATTACATATTCTCTGTTTTATAGACAGGAATCTTCACAAAACCAGAGGAATTTCTGTAATGTTTTTGTTTCCAGTGCTGCTTCTGTTTTTGTTTAGTCATTCATTTTCATGTAAGAAGTTGGATTTAATTGATAAGATTGTGTACAGATATCTCCAGATGAATATGAAACAGATTGATTGTTTTTAAGCATCTCTGTGCTGCATTAACTCCACGCTGTAAGGGTTTTGCTGGCCATTAGCAGGAGCCAGGAAAGATCTCCTATGTTTGTTTTGGGTTTACATTTCAGTGAGGCAATGAAGATAAAATGTAGGGCATAGTTTGCTACATTTAATTAGAAGATGCTGAAAACTGTTTTCTGACCTCTATTGCACTGAGGATGTGTGAAGTAAATGGGAGAGAATCCTCTGAATTAATTATTCAGTGAGAGGAGGGGTCTCTGCAGGAGAATGGTCCCTATTATCTAAAGAGTCACTTCCACTTAAATGCAACTTGAAATTGACAGAAAATAGTTTTGTTAACAATATATGAGAGACTTTACATGATCTATGTTTATTGTTGCATCAACAGTAAGTAATCTATCAGTTCATGTCACAAAAACAAACGTGCATTTTGCTGAAAGCTGTAACAATTGTTCTCAGTCATTTGACAACAGATGTAGGCTGCTGTGTGATGAACTGTATGCAGTCTCATCTGTCTTCAGCCTTTTGGACAGGCAAAAAATAAAAAGGGGGTAGGGAGGAAGTAAAGTGATTAAAAAGTGGACATGGTCATTTTTCTTCAGGACAAGCAGAAAGCATTGCGAGAACTTTAACAATTACTTGCCATTATTTCTGCTCTCACACCAGCACCTGTTGGCCAAGGCACCCACATCTTTGACTGTGAAGTGCCCCAGCCTAGTGGTTCTTCTGCATGTGAGTAGAACAGATACTGTCTTAACTGGATTCAGTACATTGGAGCTGAGCATCTTGGTACCTGTTTTGTAAGTGCTATTGGGGAATCACAGAAGAGAGGACATGATGATATTTTCTTTTTGTAATTGTACGGTGTGTTAGTATTTCCCAGAGAAGTGGAAATAGGAGATTCGGTTGTACCTCCCAGGAGGGTATCCACACAAGTACCTGATTTTCAGGTTAATGGTAGCATCTAGATTGGTTTGTTTTGTTTTTACATTAAATTCTTCCTATTCTTGGTTTCCATTTTAGAAAGTTTGTGCAGATACGGTATGGAAATCTTTTGATAAAGAAACAAGGAAAATGTTTTCCCCTTTATTAAAAACAAAACAAAAACAGGATTATGACTTGACTATAAAATCAACATTCAGAAACCATACATAACAGCAGTTTCTGTTGAAATGAATTGCCTATGATGGATTCTTAGGTGTTCATGGGGTGTGTGGAACTTTAAAATAAAACTGTTAAATATCAATTATATTAAAATATTATTAATAGTATCAATAATAATATTAAAATACTATAATTAAGTAATTATAAATTATACATATGCATATATATGCATAAACTAAAGATATAAACTAAATATAGAAACTAAAATATTTATATTAAAATATATTTTTGTGGAAAACTGTATTTCCACAAAGCAGTTTTCAGACCACTGTGTCAGCAATTTGAAGTTGTGGACTTGCATGATGCCCACAGCCAAGAGCAGGAAGGTCATTGCTTTAAGTTTACACCTATGTTCTTGGTCTTTAGGATGTTCTCCAGAGAAAGCTCATAGTTCATCTCATTTGGAAACAAAGAGTTAAAATAGATTGTATGGCTTGTGACTTAGAAAGGTACAATACCAGAAGACTGAGGTCACAGACTGGTGTATAAATGTCTGAAAATAGGTGAGATGGTGCCCATCAACAGTAACCAGTTCATCTCTGCTAACTGTAGCTGCATCCTTGAGCTCTCCAGCAAACTTTCTAAGAAGGTCTGTTGCTTTTTCTGAATGTCACTATTCTAAAGTAAATGCTTTGGTATTTAAATATAAATTTGGTATTTAAATTCAAAATTTAAATGCTTTGGTATTGTTCTAGCCATGTTTTAACTGTGTATGTAGTCTGCTGGAAAATGAGTGAAGAAAAAACTTTTACATTGCTGTTTTTCATCTTTACTAGGAAACACGGTTAGATGACTATCATCACGTTGCAGTGGCTCTTGGGAAACAGGAGGGATTTGGACAGCAACATACTGATGTAAGAAATCACAAAGTGTTTGCAGGTCTTGGTATCTTGGTAACTAGGTACTTGAACATAAGCTTAGCATGATGCTTTAGATAAAATAAGGCCTCATCTCAGATGTAGGGCCAAGGAGAAGAAAGCTTATCTTAACTGCAGTATTAGTCAGATTGTTGGAGGACTGTTACGTTTAGTCTATTTGTGCCTATTTGAGAAACAGGCTGGAAGGGAGAAATGGTTTCAGAAGACAGCAGCTGATGATGTTAAATCTACAATGTATGTGCTACAGCATTCACTGTGTTTATTCAAGAGATGATTCAGTGATTTCTATTACAGCCTGCTAGACTCAAGTTGGAAGGGTGGATTTAGTAGATGCAAAAGGATACTGAAACTACTCTGAACTACTGAACTGTTGCACCAGCTCTCATTGTAATGGGAGACCATCACTGCACGTATCCAACAGCAGATCCAGCTCTCAAAAACCATTAGGACAGTTCTTGAGACAAGCAATAACAACCAACAGATAGGAAGAACAGCAGCATTAATCTTCATTCTGCATGGTCTCTTTATGGAGTGAGGCAGCAAAGCTACTTAAAAGCTTTTTGGGAGTTTCTTTATAATTTAGCAAAGACTTGGGCCATTAAAATAGCAGCAGAAGTCAAATTTGAAGCAGATTGAGAAATCATAGCCAAAATAGCCAGATAATCAGCAAAAGGAAAGGGTGACAAATAACCAGGTTTGTCTGTGACATTTCAATTGCTCACAAGAAAATGGATCTGTTGTTATCCATTATGTAGCTACAAAGACTGTAGCAGGAGCTACCAAAAATACCTGCTAATGGATGAAAGTGGTTATAAAATTTGTGTCTGTGTTCCTTGATAGCACAGTGAGGCAGATCTTTTAGCTTGTGTTGGTTAGATTCAAAAAACAGATAGAAACTGCATTTTAGGATATACTCTGTCACATGTTATTTAGGAAAATGCATGCATTCTGTTTGACAGTATGTTTATCATGCAAGCATACTACAGAATCCAGGATTAGTTGCTGACTGTGGCTATCACTGTCAGGCACCTTAGAATTATTACAAAAGGAACAGATGTGGTATATATTGGGAGTTATGATGCAAAGTATTTGAATCAAGAAAAGTCTCTAAGGCATACTTGCTCACTAACTAAATTTATAAAGACCTAAATTTCATTAGCATGGTCCACTGAAAATAGGAAATATTGAGTAGCACAAGTGGCATTCTCTGACTCCTCGCTATGATAATGAAGTAAGAATTTCTATACATTTGTGTTCCCTTTTCAGGATGCTTTTTAACAGTAATATGGAAGAAATAAATTTGGCCTTATTTTCTATGGAAACGGTTAAAAGGGATTCAGTCTGTTGTTAAGTATGCTGAGTGGAGAGGGTGTTCTTCATCTTTGTTTAGAGAGATTGAACATGTAGACAGTATTTAGAAGAACAGCTTACAGCCTCTATCAGATCATGCAACTGTACTTTTAACCCTCCTGGAATTATACTTGCAGGTAGCACACGGCAGGCTATACAGCAAGAAAACAAGCCTATTTTTCTTTGAGATGCATTTTAACTAATGCAGAAACTGTGACACGCTCATCTCCAATATCTGAGTTTGCATTTAATCTGGATTTAACTATGGGAATCATGGCTTGATTGTTAATGCTTTTGTTCCTATAAGTTTCTGTGAGGAGACTGAGTGCACGCAGAGGAGTATGAGTAGACATTCCTCCATTGTAGTAAATCCTGATGCTACCATCTCAAATAATCATGTGTGATGTAGAATGTAATAGTTTGTTTTTTGTTTTTTTCTGAGCAGTCATTCTGTGGTGTTTATAGGATTCTTTGTCCCTAGCATTCTCAGTTTTCTGAACTGAATCAAAGCAGAACTTACTTCTTCTGCGCACCCTGTTACATGCTTCTGTTAGTCGATATATAGCCTAAATTAGCAACAGTGACACTGGTTGTAACTGGAATCTTTTTTCTTCAGAAAGCAATGTGTAGTTTTAACTTTTCAGGGTAAGTTGCAGGAAGAAAATGGATATTTCCTGATTCATTAAAAATTAATCTGTTTTCCTTAGGTATCTTCCATGCAGCCTCATCAACCACAGTTTACATTACTGACTTTCGAAGATTTAGTTGCACCTGGAATTCCAATTACATCTGAGGATTCTGCATATTGGGATAACTTTTGTTCTAAACAAGAGAGTCCAATGAAACAGAGTTCAGATTCAAGATGAGAATGCTTAGAAAGAAAGGATCGTAAGAATACATGTAAATATGTAAATAAAACTGTTCTCTCTTTTTCCTTTAAGTCTGGTATTCACCTTTTCAAACTTGACATTTTTCTGTCAGTATTTAAGAAGATGGCGTGCTTCCTCACTGAAGGAATTCTGAGTGAAAAGTCTAAGCTGACCACATGGATTTTTGATTCTCCATGCCTTTCGCCTCATACTTTAGTAATTACCCTTAGCAGTAACAGGAAGCAGAGCTTCAGTAATGTTGTCAGTCAGTCAGCAAGAGCTTAACAAGCGGAAGTGTTTCTGTGTTTTATTTCTGCTGGACTTATATTATTTAATGTCAACTCTTATCTTAAAAAAAAAATCACAATTTTATACTGCAATGAAGTGAATAAAGGCAGAGGAATTGGTAAAAGTCCTATTGCTGCTACTGCATGGCACAAGTGTTGTACAAGATTTGAGGTTTAGTTGTATAAAAACAAACTGAAAAAGTGTGAGTTGTGCTCTTGGAACTAAACCTGCATAAAATTATTTTGAGGTGGAAACTTAACATAAAAGTATTGCATATCCTTGTCACTTAAAACCTTAATTAAAGTTTTTTGTATCTAATAGAAGTTTTGATGTTTTTACTTCCTTTTTGTGTTTTGTTGTTTTTTTTTTGTTGTTGTTTTTGTTTTGTTTTGTTTTTTACATTGACTGTTTGCCATACAGTGGTTATATTTCCCAGGCTTTACTTACAGGTTCACAACCCTAGAAACTAAGTCCTGTGGAGAAAACAATACAAAAAATTGCTTGTTTTTCTTCCTTCTTTTTTTTTTTTTTTTTTTTTTTTCCCCAACTTACCAAACAGATTGAGTCTCATACTCAATGGAACAATTTTCATAGCTCTGAGGTGTTCATTTCTGTCCTACAGTTAAACATAACTCTTCTGTGAATTTAGATTTGTGCAAAATTTGGCTACTCCATTCTGACTAAAGGCAAATATATTTGTTGTAAAGCTGTGCCATATTATAAAGACAAATACAAAATTTAGATAAGGCTGTAAGGTTTTAAGGTTTCACTGTAGATAATCTTGAATTCAGATATGCTGTTAAACTTTTCTGGTTCTGGTAGTTTGGGTTAATAATTTTGTATCCATTTTAATGAATCTCTCATTTTGCATGCTAATCATGGTTTTTGTTTTGTGAGCTTTTTTTCTTTTTTTCTGTAAAACCACAAATCATTGATAGCTGTGAATTTTCTCTCCAGACTCCACAGGGGTTAAATTAGATGTTCAGCAACTTCAAATTTGAAATTGTTGGGAATATAGAATAATTTATAGAGGTAGAATAATTAGCAGTCAAACATTTCAGATGGGATTCAAAAATGAAATATAACTTGCACTAAATAACTGGAATTCCATGGAGATCAGAAAAGGCTATGCAGAGGGTATGTGCCCACATCATTTCCTGCTATGGGATATTTTTAACCACTTCAGTTGACTTAATTTTATTCTGTCCTATCTGAAGTGTTCTATAATCCAGCTGTGCAAGCATGTAAAGGTGTTTAAGAGCAGGGATAACCAGAACTATTGCCAAGCTGAAAGAATGGACATGGCTTCAGAAGCCCAGAGAAGAAGAAGGACTGTTTGAAATAAGAGGGTCAGAAAAGAACTGAGCTTCGCTACTGCCTGCTTGTTTACTGCTCCAGTTTGTGCCAGTCCTCACCAGTCCCTGAGGCTGCCATCAGTTGCAGCTGTATGAGACAGTTTAAATTACCATCTGGTTTCTAAAGGTCTAGATGGAATCATCCATGAAGTTGCAGTTCTTCATAGTAATTTTTTCCTATGTATTTCATTTATACTGAGCTACTTGAAATCTCTTCTCTTTTAACCTTAAGTAGGTTAAGATTAGGTGATGATGGTGTCTTGTGAAAAGCCACTTGGGTCAGGTTGCTTTGTGTCAGTGCAAACTGACAGTTTTTACACTTGTATTTAGCAGTGTGGAAAAGAGCAGCTGTGTAGCTGTGGAATTTATCTACATGCTGCTAAAAGACCATCTAGATGTTCTGACATCAGAATGTTTTTCTGAACATCTGTCTGTCACAAATGCAGATATTAAAATAAATGTAGATATTATGTCCAAGTAGAGCTGTGTGATTATATTAATTCCAGGTTCTTTGGCCTCCAGCATCACATTTCCCATTATATAAAAATTGAGCCCTGTGTCCATACATGGTTGTTACACTGTCTTCCTTGTGTTTCCTCAGAGTATGGTTCTTAGTGCCTACAGAGTATGCATGCTGCTTTTAGAAATACTGGTCAAACAGAGCCATAACTTTTCTCTCTACCTCAGAGTGTTTTCCCCAACTCAGTGCAGATAAGATGACCTTTACTAGTCTCCATCACTGTTCTGTCTGCAAGAAATTTCCCAATTACATCCAGAAATTCTCCAGCCTTCAGATCCCTCCTCCAGAGCTCCCTTCCCTCATCTCTTGTTTCATCCACACTGCCCTAAATGTGACCACACCACGTATCTTGGAGTCTGAAATGTAAGAAGTTGCAAAAACAGGCTCTGCTCAGCGTGAGCCCTTCCCAGCAGGCGCTGCAGCTGGGTTGTCTTTTCTTCTATGGAATGGGATTGACCAGCTCCCTGCAGAAGTAGAGGTTCAATCTTTGATCATATACTGCCTTTGACTACAGATCAGGCTCATGCTTCTGAGGAATTAATAGTGTCTGACCAATAAATAGTTTAACAAATAAATACACGAAAGTCCTTTTAAGCTCGTCTGTGTGAGACAAGCAAAGTACTTGAGATTGTGTTGTTACAAGGAACTTCTGGCGTAAGGACTCAGACTTCCCACCTCTATGGTGCTCCCTCATCTTCTCTCCCCTGTGTGCTTCTCCACATGGAGGACTTTGAACATTGCTGTATGCTCAGCATAAAACATGGCTGTTCAATTTGATTTTTCAGTTTTGCTCTTTAATGAATAGATTGTTAGAAACAGATGAATGTGCTTAGCTTGGACGTATTACCATCTTCTAAATCTTCATGCATCTTAAACAGCATTGGAGTGGAGTAGGAGCTTCAACTGTCAAAACTTCAAGACAAATTGCAGTTATGTGTGACAAGAGACTGGTGACATCTTATGTTAAAATATGTAGTTTTGAAAAGTGGATTATATGAATTCATTCAGGCTTTCACAAAGTCTGTAAAAATATGCAAAATATACATTGTACTGTACTGTGGAATCATAAGGCATTGATGTTAATCAAACCTTCTAGGTCTTAGTCAGGCAAGAAATGGTAGGTGTATCAACAGAGGTGGTATAAATTTGGTAGTAATTTATAGGTTCTTGGTAGCACCCAGTCAGCAATTCAACTCTAACATTTACCTTTACCTTAAGCACTGAAGTAAAAACACGATGTGAAAAGAAATGCAAGATAAGAAGGAAAAGTAGCTCTTCACATGTGCATAGATATAGGGGTTTTTTGGAGCTTTACAAGACCACAGTTCTACATTTAACAAAGAATATGAGCAGTGTTTGGTCAGTACTGTTAGAACCTAGTTTAAACAGTGATTAACACTCCTCTTAACAGTTGTCTACCAGTGGCTCAACATGGTGCTTTCCTGTATTTGTGATGCTGAGCATGTTTATCCAGAGAAAAGATGTTGCTGTACACTGTATAGAAAATGTAGGTACAAAAACAAACTCTTGAGTTCTTCACAAGAAAGCTAATATTTTATTATTTTTTGAAATAATTTTTGTAGCATGTCATGGTATCCTTGTGCTATACCTACAATTGTGTTGGGGTTGTTGTTGTGGGATTTGTTTGTTTGTTTTAAAGCTACATGCAAAGGATGAGTCCTGTTTCTACTAAAATGGAGTTTAATTCCTTTATGGTAATAAAAAGTGCATTATTTTAAAGTTTTGATCCTATTTTGTGTTGCCAGATTATGGCATTTCTTTTGAGTCCTTTTTTTTTTTCCTCTCACTATTTAGGTATAGACGTAGATAGTAATACTGAAACATTTGTCTTTTGTTATTTCTAAAAGAATTTAGAAGAACCAAAAACTGTATGCTCCTAGAGATGTCCTTCAGTCATAGAATGAAGGTCTGGACCAGCTGCCTGTTCCATGGCAGTCTTAGAAGGCAAGGTATGCTCAACTCTTTCTTTCAGGACAAGGAGACTCCCTGCCTTATTCCTGCAATTTTAATTTAATGAAATGCAACCTTGTTTCTTGGGGCAAACTATAACAATGTTATCATGTTCTAGTTACAGAGAGGGTACATGCAAGGAAGTGTCTAAAGAACTTTGAAACAACGTTGTGGAACAGAGAAGTTCTTCATGTTGTGGTAAGATCTCTTTGTCACTCCCTTGCATGAAAAATCTTGGAAAATTATTTCGGATTTATAGATTAAGGAGAAAACAATGAATATTTTTAGACATATCAGCTCCATCCTGTTTCCTTATGCGTTGTCTGAGCTTGTGCTGTGCCCTTGGTCCCACAGCCCCTCCAACACACATGGCTCAAGGACATTTCACTGCAACAGCTTTTAATCAGCTGCTCCCAGTGTGGAAAGCTCTTACAGACAGAGAGATGCCCCAGAGCCAACAAGCAAATGTTTTGGTGTCATTTCCAGAAAGTGGTCCAGTATTCCCCCAGTAAATTCATGGAAAAGTCAAATAAAATAATTATACGTTAAAACTGTAAATGATAGGAGGAAACAAATGTGAAAGACAAGATGAAAGTGTAGTAATGCTAACATTTAACTCATGAAAAGAAGTTCTTAGTTCTATTTTGCTAAAAAGTTTTAAAGCAGCTGAAGTTATTTCAATCAGTTTTTCAGTCAATTGGTAATATAAATATTTGTGTGATTTTTTTATTTTCTTTTAAAAAGCGTGCTTCTGGAGTTCCTGTTAAGATTTTCAAACTAGCGAGTTTCTGTTGTCATAGTGGCTTAAGATTTCCAGCCTTGGTTCAGTGTTCTAAAAAATTACTTTCCTTTAATCTTGCAGTAGGTGGAATTTCACTCAAGTGACCAGTCACATCC